AATTCAAGAATTATATTATTTTTTTAAAATTTAGTTTTCAAGACTTTGTTAAAAGTTTGTTTACTTTTTACTTACTATTTAGTTTATTTTCTTTTAGTATTACATTTGTTAAATTTATTTTAAATATTCTTTTTATTTATTTAGATCTTTATATATTATTTGATATTAGTTTTTATATGAAGTTTAATTTTGTTTTATGTAAATTTTGTTTTTTAGTAATTGATAAAAGAGTTAATTAATTATTTGTTTTAGTTTATTTATTAATTTATTATTATTAATTAATATTAATTAAAAAAAGTTTTTTTTTTATATTTATCTGTTTTAATTATTGCTAAAATATTATACTTGAATATTTTTATTCTTATTATATATAATTTTTTAACTTTTTTACAAATATATTTTAGTTTTTTTTTTGTTTATATTTGCTAATAAGTCTTAATTTATTAGTTAGTTAATATTATTTAATTTTTTATTTGTAATATAAGAATCTTAATTATTTTTTTTACTATATTTAGATTACTTTTCTTTAAAGCATATTTATATATTTTATTTTATTTTAGTATTTATACCTTTGTTTTTTTTAAAAATAAGTCTAAAATAATTAGTTTATTATTATTATTATTATTTTTTAATTATTGCATTTTTGCTATATTTATAGTTAAAATTAATTTTAATTTATTTTTTTAAAAAAAAAACTTTTTTAATTAATTTTGTATATTTATTTTTTAAGAATTTATTTAAAGATATAGTGACTTAGTAAAGTAAATAAGTTGTTAATCTTCTAAGTAATAGATAGTAAGTTCAAAACCTACTAATAGCAAAAATTTAGATAATTACCTATTATTACAAAGTTGTAACCTTTTTGATATAATACAACCAAGTAACAAGATCATCTAATATAGTAATTGACTATTGCAAATATATACAAGATAGAAGTGTAGTAGTTTATTTTACTACATAGCAGTAAACAAATGGTTCAAGATAGTAACAATATATAGATTAACTTTTATTTAATAAATATACAATAACAACCTTATCTGTAGAAATTATTTTAAAGAAGAAATATTACTTTTACAAGTTAGAGATAAAGATAGAAAGGTCTAAGTTGAAATATAAGAAGTTAGAATTAGTAAAGAAGAATAAAAGGTACTCTTTATATATCTTTTTACTTAGCAGAGATAATGGGAATTTGAGTAACATTACTTGATATTATACTTGGAATAATGGGAGTTTAAACAATATTAGATATTATTGTATTTAGAATAGTGAAGATTCGAATAATATTAAATAATACTATGCTTGGGATAATGAGGATTATGCAGAGGCAACTAGAAATATTGTTTATATTATTTGTCATTTGTGTTTGAAATACTTAAGACTTGTGTTTAGGTATTTGGATTTATGCAAAGGCACTTGGAATTTGTATAAGGATATTTGGAATTCATGTAAAAATACTTGGAGTTCATGTTAAAAATACTTGGAGTTCTTGTATTGCAGCACTTGGCACAGTAATTTGGTGCTAAGATATATAAAACTTATATAAGAATATTTGAGATTTGTAAGATGATAGTAATATCACAGATGTTATTCGGTATCATATAGTTGTACTACATTTTTAATAGCCAACTAAGATCTTTTTATCTATTTACTATATAATATAATTATTAACTAATTAATGACTAATAACTAATAATAAATATAAGATATAAAATACAATAATGAATATATATAACTACTAATACTACTATATAATATATTATGCTAAAATCTACTTTGTAACACTATGTAATACATAGATGATATTATAATAATAGTATTCTGTTGACTAGTTAAAATAAGGTACCTGTAACTATAATCATATTAACATGACTAGTAGGTCATAAGACATTTGTATAATGTTGAAGTTATATAGAGAAATGCAAACTAGCATTAAGTAGTACAAACTCAAGATAAGTTTGTAATTATATAAATTTATAAAACTAAAAAGCTAAAACCTACTTAAAAAAATTTGTAAAGAGATAGTATAGATTTTTAACAGTATTATTGTAAAGACTAAACCTAAAAAATAAGTATTAATGTAGAAGAAATTAGTGAGCAAAAAACTTAAGTAAGAAGTATTATCAACTAGGCTACTAGAAGTTTCAAACCCAAAAAAAAAAATCTTGAAGTAACAGATCCTTAGAATATTAGAAACAGGTTACAGTTCTTTTAGGCTATTTGGATTGAGAATCTGAGAACTAAAGCAAAGTATAACTAAGTACTAGAAATATATTGTAAAGTTAGTATTGAAGTTTGGATGAACTTTGCAAGAGTAAGCTCTGTTAACAAAAATTAAATATAAGTAGTTAGTTAGCAGAAAAGCTCTCTAGAGCCTTACAGTCAGGTGATATAGATGATATACTCTGAAATATGTAATGACTTAACAGATATACAAATAGGAAGGTCAAAGTTAAGTTAGACAGCACTTTAGTATACAGAAACTTGTATACTATCTGTCAGATATAGTATAGAGATAACCTTATATAAGTTATATAATTATAATTAAAAATTACAATAAAGATAGTAGCTGCTGATAACTAATGATCTTAATGAAAGTAAAAAAAAAAAGAATCTATTTAACATATTTAACTTTTTTCTTTTTTATATTTTTTAATAATATATATATTAAAAAATTATACTTAAAAAAACTATTTTTAATATATATTTTATATTTAAAAAACTAGTTACTATATTTTAATTAAAAAGCAAATACTAGACTTTTTGGTTTGGTTTGCTTCATTTTACTTATTTTTATTAGTACAATTTTTTTGGTATTTTTTATAACATTTTTAAATATCTTAAATTATTTTTATTTATTTATTTATATAATGCTATATATAGTAAAAACTTTAAATTTAATTACAAAAAAATTTCTAAAATAAAGATTTCTAAACTATATTTGTATTGCTAAAAAAAGACATTCAATGTGACATTACATCTTCTATTTTCTATTTAGTGTTATAGATAATTATTTCAAATTATTTTCTAGCTAGAATAGGTTAAAAAAACCTTAACTTGAATTATGTTGTTTATTAAAATTTTATAATTTTTCTTATGTTTTTTTCTGTATACACATTCTTTTTATAGTTATATCTATGTCTAACCAATTATAATTTTGAACTTGTTAGAATCATTTTAAATAAATAAACAAAATGGTAATAAATTTATTTTTTAAAAATTTATAAATTAAAAATTATTTGAATTTAAAGTTTTTTTTATATTTAATTATAAATTTTTTTATAATAATTAGTTTTAGCAATAGATTAAAGCTAACAAAATAGCAATAAAATATCAAAAAATAATTATTAGTAATATTAATAATAGAATAAAAAACCACATATATATACAGCATATAATGCTTAAAATTAAAAAAAATTATTTTATACAAATAATATTAATACAGTATATAAATAAGCACTGTTAAAAGAAAGCAAGGCCTTAGACATTAAAATTTAATACTTTATCGATTTAATTATAAATTCAAAAAACCTGAAGTCTATTTTTCTTTTAATAGTACTCTGATACAAACAAAAAAATTCTTGCTTTTGTACATTTCTTTATGTAAACCAAATTCTGTGCTTAACAACATGCCGTATATTACCGATCAAAAGCAACCCCCAGATTTTGGAGCCAAAATTTGACTACGGTTATTATATTCTACTAAAAAAATTGTACTCGAATAAAAGCAACCCCTTCACTTTGGCTCGAAAAATTCTCATTCACCATAGAGACTTACCCGGTTAGAAATTCAACAGTATTATAGAATTTGACTTTCGCAGAGATTTAGGTTCATCTTTTGTCTACAACTATAGACGTCACTTATATGTATACTGGCATTCTGTGCCGATCATGTGGCGCAGGCAAGTTTTTTGAGCATTTAGAATAAGGTTAAAGATTAGTTAGTTATATAGTAGAATCGGTCAAGAAAAAAACTTTTTATTAGTGCAATAAAGGTGTTTTTTTATGCAAAATCTTGAGAAATAGGCGATTTTTGACATAACTTGGCACAAAAAACCGATGTGCTGTATACTGTGTTAGACCTTTTATAACCCATTTTGGTTGGTCTGTTATTACGTGATACATGTTACGAGAGAAGCCTATTTCTATTATTCCTCTTAAATAGCATGAGTTTCTCATGACTTTCGCTAATGTTAACTATGAATTTACAGAAACACATGAAAAAAAGCAAATATAAAATTTTCATTCTTTAGGATCACTTCGACCAAAAGAAAAACAAAAAAAATTTAAATTACGCATCATTATCGTTATTATAAAAGATTTAAATAATTACCGGATATTCGGTAACTTTATCATGACGGGATTGGAGATTAGATAAATGAGCGGGAATCATTAGACGAGGTTAAATTAATTAACATATTAGTCAAATGCAAATATATCCATAAATGCTATTGCGTACGGGAATTTGCATCTTATCACCTTATTATAGGTGCGATCAACTAATTAATCTATCGCTATCTTCATCTCTAGCTCATCATCTGGCGCGTTTCTTACGCATATTGTGACAAGGAATACAATATGTGTTTCGTACCATTAACTACGTAATGATTTCATTCAATGATTGGGGTTTCAAAATTTTTAATACTAACCTTGTTCGTTTAAACTATTTTAGTGTTCATGTGGCGAAATTATATCACAAACAAGTATGCAACATAATTTGATTTAAAGACTACTTTTTGGCGTCCTCGTCAAACGTTAAAAAAATACAATTTCATTTGTATATATAAATATATTTATATTACGATTGCAAAGAAATACGCATTGTCGCACACGGCGTTGGTTGCTTTGAATAATTTGATCATCAAATATTTATTTCTCACGGTGTACGTATTTAATATCTCTATTTCGAGATTATCTATTTAATATAAAAATTCGCATTCTACTTAATTTTCTCCACTCTCCCCAGTGTATACGCTTTCTTACCTTTGTAAATATATTTTATCATGGCTCACGGACTCCTCATAAAAGTCTTAAATGTATTATCTTACCTTTTTCTTTTGACTGCAAATGTTTATTCTGTTTTCGAAGGCGACGGGGTATGTTTATTATCATTCTTCCTTTTGAGGTTGAAAACACGTCAGAGCGTAATTTCCTTGTATTTTCCAACTTTTATAGAGTCAATCACCTTATCATGAATCCCACAAAACTTACATCTCTCCAGCTCCTTTTGTTTTTGGTGTTTGGGGTCTTATTCACTTTTTATTAGGAGGCTTTGGTAAATAACTAAATTACTTGCTAATCTATTTTATTCTTTAGCTTACATATTCAATTGGATTACTATCTTTAACTGTTTTTTTTCTCCCTTAGTTATTTATCAATTCTTTGCTCCGGATGATGTCATTGTTGAAGGTATCCACTGGCACTTTATCGGAATCTCGCTACTTAATGGTTTGTGGTTAGCTTTATGGGTTCGTTTTTTTTTCCTTTAAAATTCATTTTACTTATCTGTTAGATGCATCACTCGTATGAAAGCTCATTGTAAATCTTGTGTTCAATCCTTATTTATTTATCTATTAGGAAGCCAATTATCTAATTATTTCATTTATTGCCATCTTACTCACCTCCGGCCAAATTTCCTACGTCTACGCCGTACTCAAAAGGCAACAATATGCACCTACAAATTTGGTCGACAAAGTTTTGATCCATGTTCCTTTCTCTTTATATCATGCATGGATCGCCGTGATTTTAGTACTTAGTGTTTTCGCTATCATCACTCCTGAAAAAACTGATGAAGATCCGATCGTCCTTGTTAAAATAGTTGTTGTGATCGCATTGCTTATACTTAAAGGCTTATCTGCTACTTACATTGAAGCTGGTAATGATATTACTGGTGCTATCGTCATTGCCTGGACCTTGTTCGGTATTTTTGTCGAGCAAGAAGATCCAGTTATCCATTGGTCTGCTCTCGTTCTTGCCATCTTCTCAACAATTCATATCATCAAAGGTATTGTTGACCTTTTCAACAGAAACAGAGGAAGCGGAGAATACGCCCCATTGAATCCTTAAAGAAAATGAACTATACTTTTTTAATCTTGATATGATACACTTAAATAGAAACTTCTATGAATTTCTATTTTTTTATCTTACATTTTATATTTATACAGTTACTTATTTAGTTGCTATGATGATAATCTTTATATATATCAAATAATTAAAGAAGTTCTTTTATATTTTTATATCGGTACACATCTGATTGTATTATTAAAAATACGTTAGCTTTTGCATTGACAAAATATAGCCAATCATATATGAACAAACCTAAAAAAAAAAAATATATATAGCGATAGTACTTTTTGAACCGAATATGCAAAGTCGATCATGTTATAAGATCGTGTGTAATATCGACATAGGCTAACTCTCTTCTGATTGGCCAATCATTTACAATGGTATTTGTACAATTTAAGAATGTAACATTTCACAAGCGACAAATAAAATTTTTGACCATCTCAATCTTCATAAAACGCCAACAGTTATTATATGCAAAAAAAAGATCCACAATCTAGAAGTACTTAGAAGTAGAGGTCTGCACGGGTCGGGCCGATATTAAAAATTTTTAAAAAATGCGGGCTGAACTTCTAAAAAACATTTGATTTTGCGGGCCGTGCAGGCCAGCAAGAGTCCAATTTTTTATGTATCTACTTAGAAGGTATAATTTTTACGTACTGTAGAATACGTATATGATTGCTAAATGGTCGAATGTATTTGATTTAAAAAAAAACTAACGCAGTATAACAACTTTTTTTTAGATAACGATAAAGAATGTTTTTTAATATGTATAAATGTAGTTATAAGTAGGGAGCCTGGCATGCCAGAATGCCATCCTGCATGCCATATAATAAATTTTGACCAATTAACTATATATTAGAAGCACGCCTTAATAAATTTTAAGCACTTTGGCATGTCTATGATCATCGTGCCAGGTTTCCTAGTTATAAGCAATTTCTTCGCAATAAACATGACCAAATCCTAGGTCATTTCGGTATATTAAATGAGATAGGCTTTTAAAAATGACAAATAAATTGATCTTTTCTTTTGTCATAGAGAGTTAACTTTACAAGCATAATTTTATTGGCTTGATTGTCACGTTAGTGAATATAACCAATAATAAATATAAATCCTAATAAATTCTGCGTCGCAATTACGATTAGAGAATGTGGGGATGCACTTTTTTGGCCCTGCATCGCATAATGCAATATAATATAGCATGCATGCATTATTGGGTATTCTATATCGATCTAATTACAAACATAGCGCAGATGATATAATGTTCCCTAATTAAGATCAACGATAGTATAATAGTAAAAAACATAAAAAATTCAAACCGCAATAACTTTTGAACCAGCAAACCTACATAAATAAAATTTGGTTGTTAGGTTCATTTTAGCATGTTCTTTAAAGTAACAATGGCATTTTTTTATTTAGTTTTATTGTTTGGAGCATTAGCGGAGGACTCAATTTCTGTACAAAATGATCGTTTTTGATCAAACGTAACCTTTTGATCACCATTGCATAATGGCGAACAAAAATTCAAGTTACGTTTTTGATATTTATATTAAAAATATATCAAGAATGATCATTTTGCACAGAAATTGAGTTCTTCATTATGCTTCAAAAATAATTTAAAAAAGAACGTTACCTTAAAAAACATGTTAAAATCAACCTGAAAATTGTAATTTTATTTGTATAAGTTTTCTGGTTTAAGAGTTATTGTAGTTTTTTTTTCAAGTTAAGATGAGATTTTGCTTATATCTTTTATTAATTTGTTAAAAAAATCTTTAGAAGCTTCACTGAATATAAATTACAAAACTTATTCCAATTATAAATATGCTACAAAAATGAAATTCAAGCTATACATAAAAATAAAATTATTTTAAGATTTAAACCTGAAATTAAAATTTGAAAATAAAATTCTTTTTAATTTATTTTATTTAAAAGATGAAATTTTTTGATTTTTTTTTTTTAAATAGATAAAATTATAAGGATTATAAATATATAATTTGTTTACGTGGAGGATCAGGTTAATGACAGTCAGACCCAACGTACAGGACAGGCTATGGTATTCTGCGCAGCTGTGCAAACCGAGCATATGGTGAGCGAATCTACAGAAGAACCCTCTACTTCCTTGAACTTCATTTCATTATCTCATATCAAGGAAGAACTCCAAGACTCAGTTTACAATACATCATATGATCCAGACTCATGCTATAATGTATGGTTAGCAGGGTTGAATCTACCTTTACTTCCACACCCTAAACACTTAGTTCCTTTTTAAAACACATTCATCATTACAATTATACACAATTAAACAATTTTAACTATACATTTATAATATCAATTAAAATTGATTATAGTGAATGCTATATACATTTATCACACAAATCTCAACTTTCATCTGAATATTTTTTTTCACAACTATCAGCATACAACTATTATCCATCCATACCTATTCCTTCTAAATTTTCTCTAATAAACAACAACTTATCAAATATGAATTCAATTATAATGAAAAGTGATATAAACTACTTTTATTTTCGACTAGTAGAAGCTATTTCAGAAGGCCATAATGAAACTATTATAGCTAAACACCACTATGATAACATTCAACATAATACCTACTACAACAAATTTCTATTCTACAACCACTTATCACTGCTCTCTCATCTTTAAACTATTATTTCTTTCTTACAACACATCCACAGCTTTGGCTACTCACTTAAGAATGCTTATGGCTATGCACTCACAATTTCTATTAAAAATGATCATAGCGAAGCTCATGTTTACCTTCCATCAGAAGCTAAACTATTATCTAATCACTTTATCTTACCAATTCAAGCTATCTGGTATTATCCGAACATTCAACTAAAATCAAACACACCAACACCAGTCTTTTCTATACCAGCATCTTTAGCTCCTACCTCTAGTAATTTAACACAATCTAGGAATCCTAACACCTTATCTCTAAATCTCACAATCTGCATCTACAATGTTCGAAGATACAATGAAAATCTCAAACAAGTCTAGAAGGATTATTGTATCACTCATTCCTTAAACATTATTAGTATCACAGAAACTAAAATAGCAGAAGACAATGCTATTACTAAATTTCACAATTCAAAACACTTCTCTTACTTTTG